CCTGCCATGTGCCAGGGCCAGGTGACCCTTCATGGCACTGGAGCCATGCCCTGACCAGGCCCAGAGCATGTGGAGTGACCAACACACGATGTCCGTGCCAGAGCCACATCCCACGTGGGACAGGGAGCTCCATTCCACGGGAACAGCAACCACCTTCCCCTCCCACCCAGCCAGGGTAGAGGGACAGGGTCTGCAGGACCCCCGGCCGACGGCAAGAGTGGAGGGGACATCAGTGATGGAGGGGAGGGCTGGGAGGAGCCACCCCCACAGAGTGAGCCCGTCTGGCGGCTGGCAGTGCCTGACCCACCTCCTGGTGCCCACGCGGGGGTTCTGGGGGATGTCGATGGTGTTGAGCACCGAGTCATGCTTCACCGCCAGGCCCAGGTCGGCGATGGCACAGGTCTCGTTCCTCTTCACCAGGATGTTCTTGGACTTCAGATCTCGGTGTGCGATCGCTGGCTTCCCTGTTCACAGTGAGAGAAACAACCTCCAATTTTGATAAGAACAGTGTGGATTTTAACATGATGAGCAAGGATGTAAAACCAGTTTTATTCAATTTTGTTACTATCCCCTATAGAAACACTGAAGCCTGTTTTGAGCAAGCAAAGCTCTGCTGAATGCCGTCAACTTCAAAAGAAAACTTTGATGGCATTTTTGTTTCAATATCTGTATTTCAAGAATAAAACACGAGAAAAGAAACTGGAAGTTCACCCTTCAAATTAATTTAGAAAATTACAGAATCATCAAATGGCTTGGTTTGGAAAAACCCTCCAAGATGATTGAGGCCAACTGTACCCACAGCACTGCCAAAGCCACCACTAACCCATGTCCCCAAGTGCCACATCTACACAGCTTTTAAATCCCTCCAGGGATGGTGACCCCACCACTGCCTGGGGCAGCTGTGCCAGAGCTGGACAGCCCTTTTGGGGAAGAAGTTTTTCCTAATTTTTCCTTCATTAGCGCTCACTCATCTTTGGCACAGCTGCTCCCACAGCTATCCACTTAAAGCCACGGATGAAGTGCAGACAGTAGAAGTGGGAAGGTGACATCCCTGTTCCCCTGCAGCGCTCACACACTGTTTGGTGTTAACAGTTTGGAAAACGCTTCACAATTCCGCGTCACCCATAAATGTTTATGCAAACAACGCTGGAGCACCTTACAATGCTCAAAGGACAAGCGGGAAGGAAGCACTTGCCTTGTGTGCCGACGATCTCCATGTGGAGGTGGGCCAGGCCACTGGCCACTGACAGCGCCAGCCTGACCATGCCCTCCACCGTCACCGTGCCTCTGTTCAGGTAGTCGAACAGGGAGCCCTGCTCGTGGTACTCGGAGACAAGCCAGAGCTGAGTCCATGTCCCGTTATCTACCCGGAGGAAGAAAGATTATTAAAAACACTCTCTGGGGAAAGCCTTCCCATTTTGCATGGAATGCAGACAAGCAGGTGTGCCAGTCATCCCACCGGGAAGGAGCTCAGGACAGCGCGCGGCTCGAGGTGGTGCTGCAGATGGGGGGGCAGCGAAAGCTATTCTGAGACAGACACTCGGGATTTACATCAGTTGGGCTGGAAAGGTCTTTAGGGTCATTGAGTCCAACCATTAACCCAACACTGCTAAGGCCACCACGGAGAACCCCAGAACTATGAGGGTTGGAAAAGCCCTGCAAGAGGACGGAGCCTCGATGCCGCGCCCGCCCCGTACCCTTGTTGTCGGCAGCGATGAAGCCCAGGATGTTCTCGTGCCTCAGCATGACCGTCTGGTAAATCTCTGCCTCCCGAAACCAGGACCGCTCGTCTCTGGAGGAGAAGATTTTCACAGCCACATCCTCCCCGCACCACTTCCCACGCCAGACTTCGCCAAACCGGCCTTTTCCTACGATCTCCTGCAGGACAATCGTCCTGGCGATGGTTCTCTGGACGAGCAGGGGCAAACCTAGTTAAAAGGAGAGACAGGTACTTGGGAAACAGCTCAACTGTGATCTTCAAATCCCAACGCTGCCCTTTCCCAGGGAGCTGCACTCATGGCTTTGTTTTCCAAGACTGCCAGGGGACAATCGTCTCCCCACTAATATCTCAGCCTTTTAGACGTTACTTTTCAGTGTCCACATATTCAAAAAACATTAAAAAGCCCCAATAAAAATAAAAAAATAGGCCTGAACTATTCCACTTGGTTTGATAGGAATTGCAGCTGTCCTACAGTCGATTAGCTGCTTCCCTCTGACTGATATTTTCAAAAATAAAGATAAATTATCATAGCAGTTCCACTATCCTTTGCCAGCCATAACCTCTACCTTGTTTGGTCTGATTCTGTGTTTTCTGGGGACTTAAAATAATTATTACTTTTTATATTTTTTTTAATTCAAGACAGTCTTGATTTTGGCTGAAATCAGATCAAATTGCACCACTGCTCGGGGCTCTGGATCAGCACAAGTCCAGCCCTGTTCCTGGCTCAGGGATGGCTGGGAAGAGTTAAAACTTCAGGGTAAATAAAGCCAAAGTCTGCTCATTATAGCTGTGAAAAAGTGTTAGGGAAGAACAACAACTTAATCCTCAGAGGTATGCAGCTCATGGAAATAAAGTCAACTAAATTAGGCACCATTCCTACATTTTTCACTTATAAATAAAAGCAAGCACAATCTACATATTTTTCAATAAAAGCTGTAGTTGGGGAAAGCTGGGCTGTACACACCAGATGTGCCACTGGCCAGATGAGCTGGAATATATTTTAATTCCACCTCATTTTTGTGTTTCTTTGGTTTAAAAACTTCTCCATTGCAATGGAGGCACCACAGTAGACTGGATATCAGAAACAGGAAATATGTTAGAAAGGTGGACATTCTGCTCAGAAAAAGAATTTTGGGTAAAGTTATTTTGCAATAAAACACTAAACATTTCAGAAGCAGCATCCTGACTCAGGTGAGTTTAGTACCTTTCCTTATCAGCCAGCAGCACTGGGTGTCACACTTGAATCTGATTTCTGAGCTCGCTCTTTTAACTCTTCCATTCCAACAAAGAGCAGAACTTTTGCAGTTTGACAGCAGAGGAGCACACGAAGCCCTGTCACTGCTGTCAGGGGTGGCCACGTGCACCGGCCCAAAGCCCCTCGGCGTGCAGGGCACCCCACGTACCAGAGCCAGAGCCGGAGGTGGTCATGTCATAGATGAGGTCCCTCAGCGTCTTCCC